ACACTTTCCTGCTAGGTTTATATGTTTAGTCACTCAGTTTTGTTCTTATTGAATAAAACATTGAGTCTGTTTTCTTAAAATTGTGGTATGTACCCAAACCCTAATTGGGTAAACACTTGTCAATCACAAGTCGTTAGACTTATTATTAGAAAACAATGGGTGACGTTACTGTACCACACCAGCATACGTGACAGTTACAGTACAACGTCCATCTTTTATACTATGCTGTAAAATGCTGTTCAGTCACATCTAATATTGATTTAACATGCTGCTACCTTAATCATAGCTTAACACAGGGCTAAACTGCTAGCAGTTAAAAGGCTAACGTTAATGTGCGCGGCAGCTAGATTAGCATTAGCAACTGTTTAATGTTCCAGTTTTGTGAAAGTGAGGGCTTTGCTTAACTTTAGAAAATGTTCAGTGTTGTGAACTATGAGTGTAAAAAACTCTTTTATATATCACTCTTATATAGTCATGCGATATGAGATGGATCACTATTCCTGTGTTATGAGGGGCTGAAGTCATGTATCAACTGCAGGAGCCAAGACAGCACTGTTGGTATTATACCAATTTTTAGTATCGATTATTAAATTATCTGAATAATGATTTTTTTTATTTTGACAACCTTACCAGTGAGCAGTTTTTATTATTACATTTAGGAGCTTTTGAACTTGAATTTGAGAGTTTTTAAAAACTAAGATTCCGTACAATTACGCCCCTTTTTCCAAATTAATAGAAAAAGTTTTCCTGAGTTCCAGGGAGTAAGTTTATGATACCAGAATCAGCAGTACAATCTCACATGCAATCTGTTACTAACAAGTGCACCCACTCACTAATTAACTGTATATTCACTGGCTGTGTTAAGCACCAAATAATCATCCTTTTCACCAACTCCTCCTTCCCTACGCCTCCTCTCTAATCTTCCTCAAAGACAGTTGCTGTCTCCAGTCAGCTCCTGAGTGGCTCTCCACAGCAAGAACACTAGCACTGTGCTCTTCTTCCACAGCCTGAGGGGATTCAGTCACTCCAGACTAGTCAAATTAGTCATAACCTCAAGGCTAAGCAAGGAAGGTGTACAGTACCAAGTTTTCTTTCATGTCTGGTGCGTGTCAAAGCTGGGTCAAGACCAGGAATACCAGAGGGAGAGAAAAGGACAGCCATGAGTCCACCTGAAGCCCTGTGGGTGCTGCTGCTGCTGCTGGTCACTGTCAGCTCATGTAAGGTAAGGAGACACCGTGTCCCCAACTTATCCATTCAACCTTTGTGTCAAATGAGTCAAAATTTAAAAGTTTCTAAACTTTAAAGTGGTTCTTGGAAAGAATTGATGTACTCTGATTTATCATTTTGTTAACCAACCTTGTGTCTTTTATATCTCCTGGTATTTGCTGGACATCCCCAAAATAGTTTAGCCATATTGCCTACATGCTAACAGTTAGAGCATGCATTTTTTTTTTAAGGGAAACATATTTATAAGTCACAAAAACAGGACTAAAATAAAATGAAAGAAATTGACTGAAAGAAATAAAATGCTTTATATAGATCCACATCTTAAAACATATTAGATAAAGTAAATATTGCTGACAAAGGAGTTTAGATCAAAATCAACCTCCCAAAAATTATATTTTTATAGATTTGTTTTGCCAAGTTTTATGCTCAGAGAAATCACGATCATCTATATTCATTGTTTGAGTTATTTTTTTTATTATATTATAGTTTTGAGTTTTCTTCTTGTTTTGATCTGTTGTACTGTATTGTTCTGAGAAACTTTGTCGTTCCACTCTACTGAAAAGATGGCGATGATTAGTTTGTAAAAATGCAGAGAGGCAGCCACCTGAGTCAGTGACCAGAAACACCCTGAAGGTGTTTTACACCACTCACTTGTCATGTTGGCTCTGTTGTTGCCCTCCTCCTCCTCATGACTGTGTAACCTTAAGTGCAGCTGATTGAAATATTCATGTTTAGAATATTTTCTGAAGGAGATTTTATGTATAATCCATGTGTATTCTGCAGACTCTTTATCTAGAAAAAAACAACGAGTATGTTACTCCTGATGAGAACAAAGGCGCTATAAAATATTTAGTGTTGGTTAGTTAAATTGTTGACACATAATTGCTCGAGGCAGGAGATGGGGAAGAGCCATGTCCTTCTATAGCGCTTGAAGTTGTTACAGGGCTGCTAGTTGTGCACTGCAGTCTGTTTAGCATCACGGGTGGCCTTTTACAGCTCAAAAACACCAGCCTGATGTGTCAGTATTATGCTATTTTCATTAGACTCAACTAATTACAAACTGCAAATGTCCATTGCTAAAAATGTATATCATTCAATGATTTTGATCCTCCTCTTGACTGGTGATTAGCGTGAGGCCTATTTGACACTATTCCAAAATTGTGTTTGATCCTTGCATTACATTCTCATACACACGATGAATTTACAGTACAGTATACTTAGTTTGTGTTTAGTTCTTCTTTTAAGCTTTACATTCATTACCGTATTTTGTAGACTTCATCAAAAATTGCCACTTAAGTGCTGTCCTAAATACGGTCAGAAAAAAATACAGTGAAATGTGTCTCATGGGTAAAGGATTCATTTAGCAGTGTCACTGTACAAATTAGTTTTACAGTTCAGTTCAACTGAAATTCCTTCATTTAGCAGCAGCTCACAACAACACTCAACTCAAGCCACTGTTGCAAGAAAAAAAAAGATGTATATGCAGGCTTTAAAAAAAATAATGTACAGCGTCTTTCACATTTAAGGTTCTATATGTCAGGTTATATTAATTAAAAGAAAAAAGACTTTATATGGGTTATTATAAACATCAGCCAAAATGCAGAACACTTACTGCTTCCATAACAATTAAGAGTAGCCAGGCGCTGCTGATCAAATACAGGTGATTAACTGATCATGAGCGAGTGCGAGCGCCTCTATAAAAGCAGATGTTTCGTCAGTTTGCTGGTCTGGAGCATTCAGGTGTGTGTTAACACACTGCCAGGGAGGAAACACAACAGCAATGATTTTATAGACGCAAATGTTGCTGCCCATCGATCTGAGAAGGGTTCTAGGGACATTTCCAAGCAATTTGAAGTTCATCGTTCAACACTGAGAAAGAATATTCATGAGTGGAAAACATTCAAGGCAGTTGCCAGTTTTCCCAAGAGTGGACGCTTCTAGGAAATTTACCTCAAGGTCAGTACTCAGAGAAACTGAAAAAAATTCAACAGATTTCCAGGCCTCAGTTGGCATGTTAAATATTAAAGTTCACAACAGTATACAGTTTAAAAAATGACTGAACAAGTATTGCCTGGCTGGACGGGTTACCATTAGAAAGCCTCTTCTTTCTGAGAAGAAGCTGTTTGGAGAAAACCAAACACAGAATATCAGCACAAGCACATCATACCAGCTGTCAGCTTTGTTGGTGGAGGGCTGATTATTTGAGCTTATTTTGAAGCCACGGGACAAGTCACTCGTTCAAACATGAACTCCTCTGTTAACAAAGTATTCTGGAGTCAGCTGTCTGTCTGACAGCTCAAGCTTGGCCCAAATTGGGAAATTCAACAGGACAATGATCCCAATCTACAAATTAATGGCTGAAAAAGAAAAGAATCAAGGCATTGCAATGGTCCATTCAAAGTCCAGAGCTCAACCTGACTGAAATACTTTTGTGGACTTTAAAAGAGATGTGCATAAAACCAGTGAACTGAATTAACTCTGTCAAGAAGAGTGGGCTGAAAATTCCTTCAATATTTTCTCTATGACAAAGTCACACAGAAAATTATTACTTCAAGCTATTGCTTTTTTTAAGGTTAGGTTTAAGGTTTTTCTACAAGCTACTAAATCTTACAGTGCTTCTGCATCCTGGCTTAGATGTTATTAAATAGATGATACATGACACGGTCTAATATGTAATGTACCCTCCCCCCCCCAAATCTGTTGTGTAAACCTTGTGTTTGTGAAGAACAGCCAATCACAGGGAAGAGAAGGGAAGCAAAATGTCATGGCTCAGCGTAAGACTAACAAAGGGGATTGTTTTGAACTACTAATTGTGCTAGTTAGCATAATAGTGATGCTTTAATTTTTTACAGCCTGCAAGGCTTTCATTTATTCGTTCATATAAATAAATAATCCAGTGATTAGGGCAGTTAGTCATTTGGTTTAAAAAAGTGCCAGAAAACATTTTTTTAAAGAAACACAGCTCACCGCTTCACAAAAATTAAGACAAACTGTGGTTGTAAGTTAAACCACTGGGAAAATAAAACGTATCAAGCTAGAAAAACTCATCTTCATTGCAAAAACAATCAATAACAGAACAATAGTCTGAAGAGTAGCAGTGTTGCAAATGCAAATGCAAATGCAAATGCAAATGCTGCTGATAGACAGCAGATAAAAGCCTTCAAAATGCACATAGAGACTTAGACTTAGACTTAGGTAGTATAGTGTATCGTGTATACAGTAAGTATATTATTTAACTGGGACACAGTTAGGCTTTGTGCATAAGTGCTGTACCAACTCCTTTTAATCTGCAGTCCCCAGCAGGTGGATGCAAACGTTGTAAACACAGTGACAGAAGTGGCACACAGGCTGAACTTTATTTTTGGAGTTTGTTGCTGCCATGGAAATGCTGCAGAGCCAGATCAAATAAAGCATCTGTACATCTTGTACTTTCTCTGAAGTTTTGATCAAATCCAGTGTAAAATCTCTTACACAGTTTGGTTGTCGGCAGGCACCGAGGGCCACGTGGTGGCAGTGTTGCATCAGTGTGTGATTTACATGAAGCACAAATGCACACACGCACGCACACACTTAAGGGAGAGGTCAGTCCAGATCATTGTGCATTCCTGTAGGCGTCTGCATTTAATCAATATCAAGGAAAAGATGGGGACATTGGACAGAAAGGAAAAAGAAAGGTGTTGACTGCAGTCAGGATGAAAAGGGAAAATTAAAGGTCAGGTAAAAGAAGAAGAAAATGGGTATGGAAATGATAAAAGAGGGTGAAAAAAGCAAGAGAATGGGATAAGTGTCAGATGAATATTCTTTTTTTTCTCGTTAGCACTCTTTTTGCGGCGTGCTTTTTTTCATTGAATGAAATATGGTTTGAGAGGAGACTGTGGCGCTTGGATAAAGAAGTGGAAGGAATAGGTGAGAGTCTGGGAGAGAGATGGAGGAGTGTGTCTGCGAGAGAGGGTGGAGGAAAGGCGGGAGGGAGGGAGAGGCAGAGAGTTAGAGGATAAATGAGAGAGCAGCGCTGGCTCAGCCACAACGCCTCACTGCCAGACGAAGGAAGGAGTCCAGGAAACACACACATACACACACGCACACACACATACGCACACAGTTCAGACCAGCTGTTTCCAGGAGCACCTCCTGCAGCCTGAGCTGGATGTTTGGACTTGATGCGTCTTTGCATGGATGCATCTGGATTTATCTACTAACCTGTGGCAGTGTCTTAGACTTCAGAGGGAACATTTGTGGTTTTTTCTCTTCTTTTCTTTTTAAACAAACACTACAGAGCGACTGCACAACCTGTAACACCATGCTGTGCAGCTGCTCTTGTTAGAATGACTGCTGTGAACAGTTTGGACTGTGTGTGAGAGCCGGCCAGAGTTTCTGTTAGTGTGTGTGTGTGCGGTGTGTGAATGTGTATGCATCAGGATGAGTGTTCCCATGTTGAAAATTGGAGCGGTGCTCAGCACCATGGCTATGGTAACTAACTGGATGTCCCAGACCTTACCGTCGCTGGTTGGACTCAATGGAACCATCATCTCCTCAGAGGGCACGCATGAACGGATCGTCAGCGTACGTATTCATATTCATATGACTAAACACGCACGCATACACGCTGCATCTGTGCACTTCCAGAACTTCGTCTTCATCAAACGATAGAGACGCGTTTTTGTTGTCACTTGAGTTGTGATTTTCAGCAGCACCTTCACATACTTCTCTTTTCTACACAGCAACATCCACTTTCAGTAAATATAATGACATAAGCTCTCCTTTGTGACATGATCTGTAATTATTCCAAGCTAAATGTCTGCTTATTCACTGTAGAAGAAAAAAAGCCCCAGCTTCTAAGATATCTACGATGACGGGGGAAGTAAGTCAGATTCAATTATCAAGATCTTCGGGGATATTTTAGCCTGCACGCAGCAGATATTTGATCTGTTCACTGGTGCAGAAAAGACATGAAAGAAGGTAGAGGAGGAAAAAAAAGCGCTCACAAGATCAGAGTCAGAGCACAATTAGAAAATACACTACAGCAGGTGGCACAACTGAAGAATAAATAGCACTAATGAATAAATAAATAAGCTTTTATGAGTCATAAAGAACACATGTACAGTATGCACCCACTGCTGCACACACACACACTGCTACACCCACAGACCGGTAATAGGATTGCTCTTTCTCAGACTTACTGGGGTGATATTTCTCCTAGGGAAGGCTGACTCACCCAATGGGACAGCCGGTGATTTGTTGCCCTAGCAACCCCCCTGGCAACCCGAGACATGGGGGATCACTGCACGCACCCTGGTTTCTTCACCCCGTATGCGTATCCTGTCCGTGCATTGCAGTTTGTGTGCATTTGTGCGCACACTCAGGGTTTGCATGATTTACCTTTCTGGCACCTCGCATCTGCTGCATGGTGGCACTTTGCAAGTTCAGCAAAGTGCATGTAGTCTCATGCAAGCAGGTGCCCACACACACACACACACACACACACACACAGACCGTGGCTGAAGCAGATGGAGATGTTAGATGGGCAGTGTTGCTACTGCAATAGTTGACAGACAGTTTCTAGATGGGAAATGTCTGAAATCTGGCTGTTGTGTCTCTGTAATCCAGCTTAATTGCACATAAATTTAATTGTTAGCTACATCACTTTCTCCAAAGTGTTTATTTATTTATTTATTTTTTGCCAATTGTGCTTCCCCGGAGTCTTATCAAATGAACTCAAATGCTCTTTAATCAGCACTACTTGTCAGGTTCCAAATGTGCTTCAACTTTGCTGAATTAATTTTAAACTGCATGTTAATTAAAACATAAATTGTATTAAAAGGTTTTTCTTTTTGTTTTTTAAGATAAGGGCTGCTAATGAATTGGTGCTTTGTTCAGCTTACATACTGAGTAACAGAAGCATTTCAATGGATTCTTTATTGTTTTAAGCAGCTGTTGTAACTATTCACTATCCTCTGACTCTTTAGCATTTAGTTTAAGCTTGATTGAGTTTTTATTGGTCATTTTTAAACTGTTCTATTCATTTATTTACCCATTTAGCCTGTTGCCACAACACATTTCAGTTGTTGGCCTTTTACTTTTTGCTACATAATATTATTATATTGAGATTAATGTTGCAGCGTTTCTGTTGCTAACCTGTTTTGCCACGCTCAGTCAGAGCATTCAGTGTTTATGTGTTACCCCTGACTCACTATGTGCATATTTTTCTTATGACATAAGAGCATATGACTTTTAAAAAAGAAGGCTTCTATACAGTCTATTCATTGCAGTGCTAGTCTGGGTAAACACACTCTAAGCTACATGGTGTCAGTAAGACTTTCCGATTTTTCTCTTATATAGGATGTTACACACATTTTTCTGAGTTGCGTACGTCCTCCTGTCTCCTCAGCCTCTTATCAACAATTTGTCAACTGCAGAAATGCGGCTCTGTTTGCTCCGCGCTCTCTGTATTTGCTCTGATCACAATCAGTCGAGCTGCCTGTGTAGATTTTTATCATTTTTCCCTCGTGTGAAATGAGCCCCGAGGTGCCATATGTCCTCTGTTTAATTACATCGAGCAGGAGGCACAGCCGATGCTCATACATTCAGCTCATTCACATCTTCCTCTTTTTAAACCTCAACGCTCGCGTCGTCAGCTCCATTGTGAACATTGTGAAGGTTACCCCTCTGAACCCAGCTGATAGATTTATCAGATGTTTCCCTCCAGGCCACCACGGTCCCCCCTCCATATTTCCCTCTCGTGCCTTCATCCTCTCGGCAGCCTCCTTCTCTCATCCTCCTCCTCTGCCATTATTCTTTTTCAGGGTTTTTAGGGCAGCTCAGTGCGACAGGCTGTGAGTGTCAGATCAAACTCAGCCGTTCCTTTACATTGTTCTAAAGTGTTATCACTAAGTAGGTCAAGCTGCAGACCTGGATAAACCTCACAGTAATGAGCTCGTGATTTAGCGTCTTCTGTGTTTTTTTCTTTATGGTTTTTAACTTCCTCTGCTGTTACTTGCTTCCAAATGGTCAGCCCTCTGGGAACAATCGGTGTCGCCTCAACCTAATGAGTCCCAAATAACCCAAAACATAAAAAAAGGGTCTGATTATATAACAGCTTAGACTGTATTTTTCAAGTGCTAATAATTGCCTGTCCACTCCTCTGTGCTGCAGTTTTTAAAATCACCTCAGCAGGTTGGATTTGTGCCATTCTTTAGGCTACAAAAGGTTAAAAATAGGATTCCCCTGTGGTGAGGCAAATAATAACTTTTTATTTTATTTTCCTACTGTCTGAATAACAAAAAGCAAAACGTACATACTATTACACCAGCAGGAGTGCTGACATTTAAATAGCTGCAAATGTACAGTGTACAAACAGAGTTGTAAAGGAGCCACTTGAAATGCCTCTTAAATGCTAGAATTCGCACACGGTGTGCCTCTTAAGCCCTTTCAATTAAATCTCTGTTTTGTTTGTTCTTCGTATCACGATGGAGACTCTCTGATCTGAAACCCATTGTTTGATTCATGAATTAATCCTTTTTTGTCTTAAACCAAAGCCCCTCTGATTTCGTCCCCCACTCCCCAAATCAATACCAAGGACTGCCATTAATAATAAGCACAAACGTTGTTTTTCTTTTTGAACATTAAAATCTCTATTCGACCGCTGGCCTCGTCTTTGAAGAGCACCTGATTGTGGATTATCAACACTAATCTTCTGACCCTGTGCTTTTTTTCTTTTTCACTTTAATCAAATATTCAATTAATAACTGGATTTTAGATCCTCATGGGTAGATTCAAGTGGTGCATGTTAAAATAAATATTGATTTTGAAGTGATTTTTTAAAGGATGTCATAAATGCAGGCTCCAGAATCCTTTCATGTTGAACATGCAGACTGACCCACAGTGATTTGATTAGTTATTGAACTTGGGCCTGGTTAAACATAGACTGTTTAGAACTGTGAGATGTGTAGTGAGAGGACCCAAATGCAAGATGCAGGGAGGCAGAGTTCCAATAACAAAAGGCGAGCTGTTCATTTAGGCTGTAGCGAGAGCCAAGAAACTAAATAGCAGAATTCCAAAAACAAGGCAACAACATGGGAACACACAGAGAAGGTACGACTACAGGCAGCTCAACAAAAGACCAAGGGGATGCGGGACAAGTTATACACAGAAGGCTAATCAAGGCAGGGAGTAATATCAGCTGTACAATCAGCTAGATGAGGACAGATGGGAAGTAAAAGCAAGTGTAAAACACAAGAGGCAAAGGATTACCAAAGTAAAGGAGGAAATGAAGAATAGACAAAAGAACACACTGGATATGTATAAGCTTAACAGAAGCAAATATAAAACATTAACCAGAAGTAAAACATGACAAGTACTTAATGCTCAGAAAGCTCAGGAATCAATGAAAATCAAATCCTAAAAGCTGAGATGTCAAACTCATTTTACACTGTGGACCACATGCAGCCCACTTTGAGTGGACCAAACTCGTGAAGCTCTCCTCTCTGTCAGTGCAAAGACATTTTATTACACATTTAGTCCCTGAAACACTTTAATATAAGGAAATGAAGTGCAGTTGAAACAATGCGTCTCAGTTTTTCTTCATGATGAAGAAATGATGCTGAAGTCTGTCGTGACTAATCTTTGGCCTTAGATTTTAAGACATACATGTGTAAAATTAAAGAAAAAGTCCTGTTAGCTCCTGTAATTATAAAACTGAACATTTTTGTTAAATGACAGAATGTCTTTCTATAAAAGATTTTTAAAAAAAAACCCCAATAACTTTCTGTCATTTATTTACTTTGGTGTGTATCAGTGGCCACGAGGGACACCCCTGTCCTAATAACATTAAATAACAGGACAAATCCTGTCATATTATAATTTCTTGCTGGAATCTCGTGGTACGGTTAAATAATACGTTGGCTAAACAAGAGCTGAACATGAGCTTATATCTGTGTGTGTGTTTGTACCAGGCTTGTTTCACACATTAGCTTGCTGAGGTGCTATCTATTAATAGCCAACTCGTACTACTAACTGTTGTTGAAGCCAGTCTTGATTTCAGTCAGATTTGCTTTATTAAGTGATCCACAGAGCAGATAAAAGTACTTGTTCATATCCATAGGGAAGAAAATCTGCTAACACAGCTTTTCTCCTTTTTTATCAGCTTACCTGAAACTACTGAATCAACAAAATGGCATTGATCTCTCCCCCACCTCTACAACAGCCAAACCACACACTACTACAGTGTTTCCTGTTTCCCTGCTGTTAGCTTTGTGACAGCGTTGTTTAGCTAATTCAATTTTTATGTTTTCTTAATGTAAAAAAGAGAATTTTCCTCATATACAAAAGAAAGTTCAATCCTGCAGTTTATCACAAACCTGACATAGTTTTTACTCACCAGGACGGTTATGAAAAATTGTAACAGGAGAAATAACTTGTAACTATAGTTAGATAAATGTAGTGGGGTTAAAAAAAAAAAAAGCACTATAAAAGCAATATTTTCATTTGACTGTTAAGTAGAAATTGAAAGTTCAGTGAAAAACCCCCACTCCATTGCAGCAGGAGGACCTCAAATAGGCACTTAAGGACAGTACTGGAGTAGACGTATTTTTGCAGCTGATAGTTTTATAAGAATTGTGAACGTAATGAAAGCCGATAACCACTTTAGATGAAAAAATGAGCATTTTGTTGTCCATGTGAATGAACACACAGGTGCTTTTCCTTGGATGAGCTAATGTCATTTAGCGGTTCAGCCATTTTTATGATGAGATTCATTCTTAATAACTTGGAACACCGCGTTTCCTGCTGCGTTGCTCTGCAGCAGTGGGTCATCCATCGTCATATTCACGCTCTCAATACAGGCTGAACAGACAACAATTGTACATACTACTATAAAACAATGACTAAAAATACCTTGGGCTTCATGTCGCCCCCGCTAAGGGAAAAAACTGTAAAAACTCTCATTTGTTCATTTGAGTAATGGCTGCTACAGCAAAGCTATTTTTAACTTTTGTTGTTTTACATTTTGGGAACAGAAGCGTTCAACCAGAAGGAAGAAACTGGAACTGTCTGGTGTGCAGGGATGCTGTGGTTAACCAGTCAGCCTGTTAGACCACTTAACAGTTTGATTGAGTGAGTTTGTGTTATTTACAGATAAGAATCCAAACCACGACAACAAAGAAAAGGATAAAACAGATTCAATAAAAGCAGGATAAAATGAAATCATCATGGTTTTATCAGTGCGGAAACGAGAAAGCCTTCTCAAACATGGGAGTCGCTGGTGCCCCTTCTTGCACACAGCTTCACAGCTTGCTTTAAAATCAAGCTTCAGATCAACAACTATTCAAAGGCATTAACATTAAACACACTCCACAATCTGACCTTTAATAAAAGTAGCTTTGTGTTTAGGAGGGCTTTTCCTAAAATCAGTAATTGTGTATTTAATCTTAGACGTGTTCAGCTGTTTATGAGTCCTCACTGAGATAATAAGACAAAGCTCCTTGTGTTTGTTACCTTCCAATTACGTGTTGCCAACAAGGAAGTTGCAGAGTGCCCTCTGGTGGACACACTATGCAGCCTCAACACTCGTAACATGGTTAAAATATTTTTTCCACCTCAATTTCTTAGCTTTTAAATTTTCATTATCAGTCCCAACCAATATATTGATCAGGCTCTGATTTGTGTTATCAAAATCATTTGTACTAGCTACTGTTTCCAAGGTGTCCAGAATATTATCTAAAAGAAAGTCAGGCTTAATAGGATTTATCAAATCTATCAAAAACATTTTCCCTCAGTCGCTGTGATCACTGTTGAGGGTGTTATGAATGATTTTACCTTGAATCACATGCTTCAATAACGGCTTCGCTTAAGAATGAATACATTTCCTACCTCCCATTTACAGTATGTGCTGAAAGATAAAAGTAGGCATACATATAAACAGATCATGGGAGATGTGCAGTCATCATTTGGAAAAAAAACCCCTCATATTTTGGTGTAAAGGTAGAAATAAAGATAAGAGGAGTTACCGCTCTGTGCTTTTTTCTTTTTCTATTTTTTAGGAGAATGTAGTCTCTATTAAATCTCCGTTTCGTAGCCTTTGTAGGGTTTTTCATGTATTTTTTATTTTCAGCCAACACACTTCTTTTCAGCGTCTCAGTCTTATTCAGGTCAGACTGCAGTCATCAGGGCTGAACAGATATTTTCCTTTTATGTCATTATCGTCGTAGCCAGCACGTAAATCTCTGCGTGATCTCACCATGATGCATCTCGTGATTTCAGCGTCTTTTTATGTTTGTCAAACGGAGATTGTGCGCTTTCTGTGTTTTCATTGGGCTCGACTTCACCAGAGACATCCATGTCCAATTCTGAATTTCTCATTTGTTGCTAAAATCAGCTGTGACGTCTCCCACATGTCTGTGTCCAGGAAAGCTAGCAGCATTACTGGAGAGTTTCCACTCTCTGCCTCCACGGACGGAACTGCTGTTCTCTCTGGCAGAAAGTCACCGACTCCCCAGAGCTCCCACAAATCTGCACAAAAGATGATTTCTACCCTGCAAACAGTCCACACCAGTGCACAACCAAACATCTATGAGCAACCACTTAATCTCTTAAAACTTCAATCATCAACTTAAATTTTAATCACTGATATTTGCTTTCTGTTTTGTTGTATTATTATTATGCAATGTCAAAGCATACGAGTGAGTTCATAGCACTGAAGCTTTTCGCTTTAATCTCTAAATGTAGCATCCGGTTTTCAGATTCCTCTAAAAACCCTTTTTAAGCTAAATTTAAATCAAACTGACAAAGCAGAAATAAATAACCACCAATACCTGAACCTCTGCTTTTTTTCTCTCTTTTTCTTCTTCATTTCTTGCTGTTTTCACAGCTGAAGAACAAAATGTGTCTCTCAAAGATATTCGACATTCACAAGACCGTGAATGTTGAACATCATCACCCTACATTCATCAACAACTTCAATGTTGCTCCATCCATCTCTGGATGTTCATTGTTTTACCAATAAGTTTCCTGCATTAGTGCATTTACACATTTGTTTCCTGCTACCTGGCTGCAGCATGCAGAACAAAAAGGCATTTTAACCATAAATCATTTAATCCCTCCCAGTTTGATTTGATGGTTTCAAATGTCAAACTTGTGCATTGTTAAATGTCAGTTGTACACATTTTAACTTGGTTTCCATTGTGGTTAATCTAATCTGAGCCAGATGTTTTAGAGTCTTTTTACTGACAAAAACAGTCCCATGGCCTGCGTGTCACAGAAGCATAAAGTAGTTAAGCCAAGGAGCAATGGTGAGGTGTTTATTTGGTAATGGAAATAGTTGTACTCCAGCTTGTTGTGTACATCATCTGCTCTGCTAATAGGTGATGAATTTGTTTGTTGTTCTGTTTTGCTTTCTGTGCTTTCCTCTGCTCACCCTCTCGTCTGGTAATGTGTTATCCCGCAGTGACTTCATTAACACCGGGCGTGTTTGTGTGCAGGGGCTGTACCCGGGCTCAGAGGAAGGCTGGCAGGTTTACAGCACGGCCTCGGATCCCGACGGCAGGTGCATGTGCACGGTGGTCGCCCCGGCACGGAACCTCTGTAAACGAGACCCTCGGAGTCGACAGCTACGCTCGCTGACCGAGCAGGTGCGTGTGCATTTGTGAGTGTTCGTCTCGCGCCTTGACGTTTCAGTGGTCAGCGTTGACATGCAGCACGGGGCAGAGGCAGTGTACTGGAATGAAAATATTCACTGGACTGTCTCTTTGTTTTGACACTTGCAGAAACACACATGAACAGACACACACGGGCTTCGCTGACAGATGTATTCCTGATACATCAGTAGCCAAATCCTCTGTAGACTGCCAGTCATTCAGCATGCCAAAAGAGTTTAAACTCAAAGAAACGCTGACAGATGGGTGGGAAAGAAACACTTTGTTCTGTGTTGTGGGTGCAGCTCAGCATACGACCATTTGCGTGTAACTGCTTGTGTGTGTGTACATGTGTACGGGGCTATTCAGTTCATGCCTGTGTCCTAAGAGAGGGTAATAAAAGTGATTTGTGACAGAAATTGATGAATTATTGAACGGCATCAAGTAAGCAAACATTTCTGAATGCATTCGCTATTCTCAGCCTCGCACACGACGGCACGTTTTCACACCAACGCTGTAGTAAACCGGAGCACACCAATGGCAATATCACAAAGATTACTACTCTTTTTGTCCTACACTGGTGCTGTTACATCCTGTTCTCGCTTCACACAAAACGAGAGAGAAATGAGAAAAAGGTAGATGAACACTATCAGAAATAACTCCCTCTTCTCTCCTCGCTCTGCTCTTGTTGAGAGTCTTTTGTATTTATGAATCTTAATCAGCTCAGCATGTCTGTGGAAGTGACACCTAGATCCCGCTGTGAGTTTGTGTGCGGTGGTGTGAGCGCTTATTTTTTTTTTTCTATTTTTTTTGCTTGTCTGGCCTCCACAGAACGTGTTGTACAGGAGATGTGTGGGCGGGTTTGTTTGTTTGTTTGTTTGTTTGCATATCACTCCTGAATATCTGGAAATATCTGGGTCATTTTTATAATAGATTTTTTTAAACACTTGTTTTTCATTCAACATTAAAAGATATTTCAAGTGTGTGGTACACCCTCTGCCTGGTTAATGAGACAGGGCGTGAGTGGGGGTTGTTTTTTAGAGCAGGACACGAAAGGAGAGGGACTTCTGTTTAAATGGACCTAATGAGATCTAAGAGAGGGGAACAGGGGGTCTGCAAACTGTGTGTTTGCAGACCCCCTGTATCATATTGTTGAGCAGTGAATGGGGGATGTTAAACCCGAAGCATGAACTGCTTTTAATTTAAAAAGCATATTTTCCTCACACTCTTTTATTTATCCATTTTTATTTATTTACCTTTCTATTTTTTCAGTCAGGAGTTAAAAAATGTTTTTTAATGTGGTGCCTACAACTTTTATGAAACAATAATAATAATAATGATGATGATGATGATGATGATGATACTACTACTACTACTACTACTACTAATAATAATAATAATAATATATTCTATTTCTACACAACTTTAAAAACACTCACCACCTTCCTTTAATACAGAAAATTAAAAACACATACACAATTAAATTAGTAAATAAAATTAATCAATTATTTAAATGAACAATTAAATAAAATAAACACATAAAACCACAGAACAATAAAACTGCCCACCATACTGTTTGCAGTTTACATTTTGAACCACATGAACAGAATGACTGTATTTAGCACTGTCAGCCTGTTGGTCACTGCTTTAGACTCAAATATCTCGACCAGTTTGGAAGAATTGCTGTAACCCTTGCTGCAGATATTCACGGACCCCAGAGGTTACTTTGGTGATCCTTTGGTTTTCATCTTTTAACATTCAAGATCTGTTAAATCTGCCAAAAAAAACCCAGCCTGTTAATTTTGTTGGTAGAATTTAACTCCAAGGATCACTGTGTCACTGTACAGTGCTGCAAAGTTTACATCCAGAGTTGCTAGCTTAATTGTAACTCTGTCCCTTTGTTGCATATAAACATTATGTAGTATATTATGTATACTTTGGGGTTTTGGAGTCCCATCACTATTAACCACTTATATATCAAAGGTAGGGTCAGGTGACTAAAGCCCCATTCACACAGTGCCAGAGACTGGTTAGTGACCCTTTTTGAACCACCGGTTGCTAGCAAAATGTTTATACTCTGGTCTGTTGGTGAAAACCTTCTAATGATTGCCTTTATCACCAGCAGATTGCTGTGGTCACCAATAGTTTGTATGGACCTTGCTGGCATGTTAGCAAACACTTGCTAGCTACTTTCTGAGAGGTAGTAAAACTGTGAAAAGTGTGACACAAACTGTAAATGGAGACTAGTTGTCTTCAGAGTAAAAAGTCTGCCCTTGAAATGTGTTGGAAACAGCACTGTGGCACAACTTTTAAGATTAAAGCGACCATTTACAGTTTGTATTGCACTTTTCACAGTTTCACTACTGCTTGAAAGTAATTTCAATCTTCCATGCAAACAACACGTGACTGTGGCAGCCTGCTAACGACCAGAGCAATCAGAAAGAGGTTTGTGTTGCAACCCTCTATTTATAACTGATTTCTCTTAGAGATTGTCAGCAACGTCCAGAAACCACTTGGCAACCAGTTGGTGAATGCACATTTTTTCACTTCACAACAGGCGGTTGTATCATGTCCAGCATGGTGGATGGCTCTTGAGGAATATGCACATGACATCACACGAGAAACCTCTAGCATAGTGCGTGAATTCTGCCAGGGTAGTGTTGTCTCAAGTTGAAAACAGCAAGCTGTGAAGTACTTAATAACAGCTACGATATTCTTCTTCAGTGAAAATGAAAATTTAAAACAATCACCAATGAATCCCTGAACACCTGTAACATCAGTGTCTGAAAACATCTGCAGCTGTTAGCTAACACTGGCATCACTATCAGTTCTGACAGCTTGTCTTCCTCCTGCTGCCTCCTCCGTCTTGGTTGGTGGCCCGTGTCACTACTAGATCCATAAAGGTGTAGACCTAGATGGCATTGCATCACCAGGGGTGGGTACTACAAAGTAAGATTACTGGGCTAGCAGGCTTAACATCAGAGTGTACTCTGTCAAGAAAGTGGCTCACTTTTTACCGAGCTAATTCACCATGGTAACTTACATTGAACACACAACCTGGTCAGGAGCAGGTTCTTTCACGTACGGCATGTTTTCAGAGCAATATATATTATCTGCTTAGAAAATGGAGTATTTGTGTAAGCAGTTGTAAACCTTACTAATGTCAGGAAAGAAGCCAAGGTGTAGATTAAAGCAGCTCAGACTGTGTGCTGCATTGTCATTAAAATGTGCATGTATTGATTTTGTGATGCAAAAAGTGTATAAATGGTTTTATACTTGATTTAAATTCACTTAGTTTTACACGGGTAGAATTGCAGCAATGAGAACATAGCGCATACTTTAAGTATATCTATTCAATCAATAAAAATAATTTTACTTTGATCAGCCAGTAAACTGAAGCAATTTCCACATCTTTATCACATCTTTCCACTCACTGTATTAGGCTGTGGGACAGTAAGCTAGTCTCAGAACTCTAATATGCAGCAACCACTTTAGAGATAACTAGCAGCACTGAGAGCACACTCAGCTGTAAAATTATGAACGCACATTAAAATTTTTATTTTAAATGATTAGCTAAATACATAAATAACCAAGTTAATGATCTTCTATAGAAAAGATCTGTTATTCTATTTGCTGTTGTTTTTAGGGTCTCTAAAGAGACCAATTTATCATCATCATCTGATAACTCCTCTGACTGAAGCAGGCGTTGCTCATAGGGATCATTTTGTGTGGTAGAAGGGTCAAACGCTCATTGATTGTCATTTACAAGTCGATAGCTAATCAGCATACTCCAGATAATACTTCTTTCTGAAACATAGAATTATCAACATTTAAAAATTGATCTAATTTTTTATACATTATGTTTTCCATAGACTTCCATAGGATTTTGTGTCCCCTCTGTTGGCCATTAAAAAGACGAATTCCACATTGGTTTCACTTTTCAGACCTGGAATCTTTTCTGCTGTCTGTGCTACAGACAGCAACTACGTGGCTCTTCCTGCTCTTTCATTTCACAATAAAAGTCCCTATATACATATACATTATAAAATATAAAAAATAACATAAAATAATGAGTAAATGATTATTGAAATACAGCATTTGTTTTGTTGGTTTAACATTAACATTCAAACCAGCGTGCAACAACTTTTTTTTGTCCTTGCTATGCTAGTTACCACGGGGGGTTAAAAATTCAGTGAACTAGCCCTTTGTTTGTCATCATATCACCACACAGCCATATTTGTAGGCAAACAACAGGTGTTTGGAAACAAATAACAGGTGCCAGTAATCAGACAGCATCCAAAGCCAATCATAAATATTAATGGAAGGGACAAACAGTAATCACTGATGGTATCAGCAGCATTATGCATATGCGTGTGTGTGTGTGTGTGTGTGTGTGTGTGTGTGTGTGTGTGTGTGTGTGTGTACATCAGGTCCAGAACGTGAGTCAGTCCATGGAGGTGGTTGACCTGCGGACATCCAGAGACCTGCAATATGTTCGAGACTCTGAGCCACTGCTGAGAGGAGTGGATGGACGGTTACACACTTATGTGGCCAGTCCCCGCAGTCTGACAGCTAGGAGCCTGCAGGTAAACACACACACAGAAACACACACACAAACAGACACACACACACATACACATCAAGTCGCATACAAAGCAGACAGTCGCTGCAGGGAACATATAACCTTTGGTGTGAAAACATTGATTTCACGCATGCCAAGCTGAAGTTTCTTGCCTGCTCTCAGACACGCGAGCATCTTTCATCAAGAGGACAAAACTTGTCTTGAAGCTGTCAATTTGCTGGCTTCATGTCTGCTGTGTTAAAGTGTCGCACAGCCTTTTTTATGAAGGTGCCAGTAAAACTGCAGCATCACTGCACACATTAAGGCTTCAAGCTGTCATAAAAAAAAAAATCTGTCTGGAAAGAGTCTGAATTTTAATATTAATGACCAGATTAGAATAATATTGACACACAAAAGCACAGAACATTTTTTCTGCATTTGTCTTTTATAGTTTGTTCCTTGATACTTTAAATTTGCAGGAGAGAAGATAAGATTGCCTTCCTGGATAAGTATTGTGTTTTACTGAGGGAAATCTGAATGTATTTCACTTTCTAAATTAGGAGTACTAATCTCATTAGGCTTGGTGCTTTCTGCCATGATGCCACTGGCAGGCGTCTGTGCCAACAACAAAACATGGGGAGGGGTAGTGAAAGATTATTTCAAGAGCTACAGAGAATGACAGGCCGTGGATCTCAGGAGGGAGAGTTGAATGATCTAAACAGTTAAATCAGCTGTGAAACGGCTTCATTTGGCAGCTTAATGACACTGAAGTGGAAGCCTAGCATAACCCAGCTCACTGTTTACACATGGATGTAACTTTAAGCAGTGATTTAGGGACTTTCATCTCACGGGAAAGATAGGCAAAAACTATATGGTAAAGTACGGTTGACATTTTTCCACATTTAAGGTTTGTTAATCTGCTGCTTTAACAGGTTTTTAAATCTATATTAAGTTGATCAGAAACGGATGTAAATGGATTTTATGAATGGAAAGCGATGTGAAAAAGTAATTATTTTCTTGTGTGACTTTAGATAGACAGATAAAAGTAATAAATAAAACAGCCAACACATTTGAAATATGGAAATGTGGTTAAAAATCATATTATTGTGCATTAAACAGCTGCTGTAAAGTGGTCAGTTTAAAGGACCTCCTGGAGCGCTCTGACTGAAGGTGCTACTGGTGATAACCTCCTGGGCATGGCGTGGTCATGTTAGCTTTAAGAGCATTCTTCTCTCTGCCACAACAGTGCTGGACTTTCAAATTCAGACGTGACCACAGAGCCTTCTTAATAAGTTTTCTCTGTTCCTGTCTGCTGTGCGGTCTCCTTCCTCCCAGCAGGCCAAAGCATAAACAAAGCACTGGCCACCATCGTATTGTCCACACTGCACAGCAGGAGTGGAAAGGCCTCAGCCTTTGTCTCTTACTGTACCCCGCCTCCATATGGTTCTTCCAGTCCAGCTTATTATTGGTCACACCAAGATACTTGCAACTGAAGATAACTTTCACCTCGATGCCTCAAGTGTCATTTATTGTCATTTGTCATTTATTATTTTTGTGGTTTTCTTCATATATCACACTGCAATACGGCCAAACATCTCGACTTTGTTCTTGTCTGTCCAATAGACATTGTTCCATAAGTCTTGTCTAGATGCAGCTTTGCAAACACGGCCATGCTCTGACATGATCCAGTGCTAATTTCAATTCACACAGTTCTCAAATGCAGTGTAAAATAATGAAAAGGCTGTCATTAAACTGCACAACCCCATATTCACACACACAAATAACAGCCCTATATTACAGTGAACAGAGATAAACTGATACAACAAGCATGAAAACAACAATAACTAACTAATATACATAAGTTAATAACATTAAAGGTTTATATCTTAAAACACAATGAGAACAAGTTCAACAGGAAGTTATTACTATTTCAGTTAATTGGACCATGTATATAAATGTAATAAACTGATATAATAGCAATCAATCTTAAAAATTGTTGGTCAGTGCTACTATTCACAGAAGTAGATTTCTACTTAAAAATAATGAGTATTTTTACAGCCAAACATTTGAATTATTTGCTCTTTCTATCAAATTACCTCACTTCCAGCTTTGAAAAGGCAACATGGGAGAAAAAATATGCTTAAAAGAAAGGTGACATAAATGTCAAATAGAAAATGTTTAAACCACAGTTAAAAACGATACAGATCCAAAGTAAACATTGTAATTCGACAGCCATTTTGAGGGGTCACACACAGCACACATTATGCACAGTAAATTAGATCACGGGGCCAAACTGTCAAGCTCTGCTGTAACGTCTGCAAAACAACATTCGTGCAAACACCTTGACTTTGGCACGCAGCACAAATTCGGCTCCTTGCTTCTGCATCCTCTTCCTGAAAATGAAACAAAATGTCACCTTTTTGACACAGTGGGGGAGACAAAGCATGCATCGCAAATAGTCAGAGCAGGACTTCCCGGGAGCGCTCTGAGGCTCACAGCTGTTGACAAAAAAAGACACCCGATGGAGGATAGCAGCCAAATATAAATCAGGTTTTTTTGTTTTGTTATGGACGGAGTTCCAGAAAACTGAGCACACCTCGTGGCCTCAGTTGTTGCCATCTTTAGACCATCTACTTTTACTCTACTGAAATACAGCCTTTCACAGTCATAGTACCTTAAAGGTATACTTAATAGATGAATAAATGCAGAATAAACACAGGGAATGGCATTAACCTACATTCTAATCTTGGAGACCTTTTGGATTTTATTACATTTAGATTTTATAACAAAATGTAAATAAAGAACAACGAACAATGAGGCAAGCAGCTGCAAGGGCATTTATGTGCACTCAGCTTAAGTTTGCAGAATTTAAGGTTATTATCCATTTTTATTCGTGTTTATTTAAAGAAAACTTTTTTAATACAGCATATTTACACTGGAAAAGGAAAGAAAAGCTGCGTAAATTTGAAGGAAGCCTTTTTGACTCAACTAAGCGGTGAACTGTTGTATCAACTTGATTCAGTCAAGTTTAGGATCACTGATCTAATTGTGTGTTCAGTGACTGATTCAACTGAAAACACTTCTATTGTCCTGTTCGAATGGCTAATGAGGTAAGGCCTGTGCTAATTCGGATTAAAACTGATAATCTACTATTGGAAAGGTAATTGCTTTTCCACCGTGCTCTCCAACTGAGAGGTGAACTTAGACAAATATTCACACACATGTGTGTATGTGTAGCCTCAGGAAGTATAACCTAAATTCAGTAGGTGATAGCTGATCGAAAGACTGCCATCCCAGTTCATTCAGAAGCTTGATATCTCGGGTTATATTTGTGAAATATTTGCTTGCTCATCTTGTCAATGTCAGTAATTCCAAATTTACAGGTGAATCTTTTCAATAAATTCAGTTCAATTTTATTTTTATAATGCCAAATCACAACAACAGTTGCCTCAAAGCATTTAATATTGTAAAGTACAGACAAACCTCAACATTAAGGCGACCCTCAATGAACAAGTGCTTGGCGACAGGGGGAAGGAAAAACTCCCTTTTAATAGGCTTTGGGATCCATCTGTCGTGACTGGTTGGGGGTGATTGGAGGAAATAGGACAAAAGATCCAGTACTTCACAGTCCTTCATTGGTTAGTTTGTCTTATCTTGGATTTATGAAATATACATTTAATATTCTGTGGTCCCAGGACGAATAGTTTTGTTTTTAGTGTGTACAAGAAATAACCCTCCACAAACCATCTTGTCCGACTGTAATCCTCGCCATAACCCCAAACCAAGTCTTCATATTAGAATTCATTAATAATTAATAATTAAAAATATTTAATTCATGCTGACTTTGTCTACAAAAGGGACGCAAGCTCCACACTGTGACTGTACACACAGATTTTTTTTTGCCTGCTCAGAAAAAGCAGTAGAAGTACACACACACACACACACACACACACACTAACCCTTACTTACCCCAATAGGGCATATTACCGCCTCCCCATAAATCCATTCTGCCTTTCATCTCTTGCCGAGCATATCTTAACAGCTGGGGGGGGGTCTGTTTTTAAGTTTTTATATAGTTGGTTTATGCATACGTGTGTGTGTGTGTGTGTGTGTGTGTGTGTGTGTGTGTGTGTGTGTGTGTGTGTGTGTGCATGTGATTGTTGCTCCTGGGGGGTTTTCACAGTCATAAGCTTTTGCCTTTGCACTGAGAGGAAAGACTCCTGAATATTTATGTGGAACTTCAGTAAGTTTATCAATAACTAAACAGTATTTTTAACCCATGGAGGAAGGAAACAAGGGTGGAGGGCGGGAGTGGAGAATGGGATGTCAAATGGGAGTCATAAACAGAGAGAGATGGTGGAGGAAAGAGGAGGAAAGAGACAGGAAAGGAAGCCTTATTGCACCTAAATATTTCTTGGTGGGAGGGAGGACATGAGAGGACTGTGCAAGGAGAAGTAAGAGGGAAAGTAAAGGTTAAGCAGAGACTGGAGGAGAGATAAAAGTGTGAATCAGGAAGGGAGAGATTAGAGAAATCGAGATGAAGGCGGAGACGTGGCAGGGGAGGGATTAGCCAGGTAAAGTGGTTCGCTATCTAACAAACCGTGGCACCTTTGGCATTTTGTCAAAATTGGGGTTTTAATGAATATTTAATCAACTTGCAATTATATGCAAAGAACACTGCCAATATCAATGAGCGGTGATGATTTAGTGAGCTGAAGCTGCTTGGAATTACAGAGTTTTCACGCTGTGCTCTTGTGACATGTAGAAATTGGAAAAATGCGTCGTAGCGATGTTGGAAAAGTATTCAGGTCGCGATTTCAAGACAGCAGGGGAGGGATTAGATACATAAAGTGTTTGACTGACTGCCAACTGCTGACTGTTTCCTGGATATGTTGTTGTGTTTGTGTGCGTGGGTGCAGAGATGTTATAAGAAGATGATAACATTTTTGTCTTCGCTTTTGACACTTCTCTTTATCCTTCTCTCTTTTCCATATCAAATCCAGCTCTTTGTTCAGCAAGCTGAAAGAGAAGATACATCTAAGTATCAAGGCTAAAAGTAGAGATATAAAAGTAGCAAATAAAAATTTATTGTCCCTCTTGCTGCAAGCACAATTGTTTCATATGCTATCCATATTTTTATTGATCTCCATTTAAGCTGATTAGAGGGGGAAAAGGGGGCCTTTCTGGCCCGATATGATCCAAAGTGCATTTTTTTAAAATGAGAGTTTTCCTCCATCCATTTTATGCTGCTTATTTGGGTCACGTTGCCAGAAAAGACTTGCCCAGACGTACTCTCTTCCAGCACATCTTCCATCACCTCCTGTGGGACTGTGAAGCGTTCTCAGGCCAGATGGATTGCACAGTCCCTCTAGCATGTTCTGGGGGCGCTTTCCATTCGGTTAACGTGATTCTCCGCTTCCCTCGCTCACGTCTGTTCCTCGGGGAGAGCAAAGAGATGCGGCGACAGAGGCAGAAATGAAATATGATGTGCAGCATCTCAGCTGCCAAATGCACAGAAAGAATTAAGGAAGCAAAGTAAATATTCTTCTGAACCAAACCCAAAGGAAATGAGAGCTTTATGTGTCTCAGTTCATTTCATTTGTCTCCTACCAACAAGTTTATCAGCAACAGGTAGACCGGGGGGCTGCCTTGTGACACAAGGATTGTCTCAAACATGTGCTCAGTTTTTAGCATCGACGAGTGAACAAAAGGGACAGGTGAACAGATTCATTTGAAACATTCACAGGTGGAAGGCAGCACAACGGGAGATTAAGGATGACAAGGAGAGTAATCAGCCGAATGAGAAACAAACCACCAACCCTGTTACACATGCTGGGATGAGGTCACCCTTACGGGGCACCCTGACCAGTCCGGACACATAAACTGCCTCAAGTGTGCCTGAAAGGGTGGCACTACGCCGAACTACAGCAACTGAAAGAGAAAAATAATGACTGCAAATGGCCTCTCTCACTTTCTTCAACTCATTCGCAGGAGTTAAAGGGTCAGATGTCTCAGCTACGGCCCCTGTTGTCAGTGGTGGAGCAGTACAGACTGGATCTACAGACGCTGGCCACCTTGCGGATGGAGCTGCTTAACCTGTCGATCGTCCTGACAGCCATCCAGGAAGAGATTGGAGCATACGACTACGAGGAGCTTCAGCAGAGGGTCCTGTTGCTGGAGACCAGGCTGCACAGCTGCATGAATAAACTGGGTACGTGCTGGGAAGAAAGCAATAACAAAATATGACTTGTGCTGCTTTTGAAAGTAACTCACGCGTTTGCAATTTGAACATGAAAGCGAAGGACGTGAGCGCGCGGGGGGTGGAAGCACGCAAAGGAGCACTCCGCAGGTTTACACACTCAAAGATTTATTTATACAACGATTCATCAGTCTGCAAAAATAGTTCTATAACAAACTGAGAAGAAGAACGTTCAGGAAGAATAAAGGAGGGGAGTGAAGTTTAAAAACATGCAAATTTACCACAGGGAGTGAGGAAGGAGTGTAACAGAAAATAGGACCAAGTTTCATCAAGTTGGTACACAATCTGCAAAGTCAGGCCTACCAAACTAGGATATACCCAACTAGTTCACTTACACTAAATGAATCTGTGTAGGTTCTCAGTCGACTGTGAAAGCAACTGGACTTCTTTATATTTGTTGAAAATGTTTCACCTCTCATCCAAGAGACTTCCTCAGTTCTAAAACCAAAATGAAGCGACTCTGAGGAATTTAACTTCTAGCAGGGTTTCTTTGCATCCGGTGACCTCAGTAGTTCACATGATAGGGTGGAGCAAGGTCTCACAGTGGTTTCACCCAAAGCCCCTGGTGATGTCGTTTTTAACACCTTGGCTCATGCGATGATGCTCAATAGTGGGTCAAGACTTCACTAAACAGGATATTTAGGGAAAGATGCATACATACATAAGGAAAATCTGAGCTTGAAAAAGATGACATTGGGAATACAAATTAAGAAGTTGGCCTAGCTGACTTAGAAGCAAACAGGACCAACTGGCAAAGGAACAAAGGGAAGCAGGGGAGTACAAAGTGGACATACAACCCAGTATCGTGGCAAAACGTATAATAGACATGCCGGTCCACTGTGTCCATTCCACAATTTGTCTCTCCAAAACATGAAATCGACTTCACCGCGTGCAGAAGTTGCATTACCAGCAGGGGGAGATAATATTTAAGCCACGAAGTCAGTAGTGAGCAACAAATGTATTAAGTACATTCCAGGGTCCTTAATCGGCAGAACAGATTAAGCTAGGCGGCTAATGTGTATATACATGCAAAGGTGTTAATAAAGTCTGTTTAAGCACTTTCCCGTGATAATTTTTATGTTGGCTTGAAATAAAATATTTTCCTCTGCTGTTACTGCAACTTCTGCATGCATGTACAATTCACGTTTTAGAGAGGCAAAGCTCGATGTGTCTGTTGCAAGCTTTGTCATGATATCGGGTTGGAATATGCGCAGCTTTTGCAGAGGAGCACATGGAATAGCTGTAGTGAAGTAAGACTATGGTTTAGGATTAAAGAGATTTTTAGGAAGGATTCTTATTTTATTTACTTGGTAAGAGTTGAGGGTGTTTCTTCAGTAAAAAGAAAAAAAGACGGATAGCCATCGGGTAGTAACATGCGGAGACAGCTATGGGGAAACAGATGGACATTCCCGGTTTCCTCTTTGTGCTAAGCTAGGCTGCTGGCAGTCGCTTCATTTTTACTGGACAGACATAAGAGTGGTATTGATTTTCTCATCTAACACTCCAACGGGCAGTGAATAAATATTTTCCACAAAATGTCAAAGTATTGCTTTAAGAGCAGCAGAGAGTGCTCTAACAACAAAGTCTAACATGGGGACAGAAACAGAAGTGCACCTATTTAGGCCCATTTTGAGGAAAATTGAAAAGCCGGGACACAATAAGCCTGTTTGTGGAAAGCATACAAGTGGATGTTGATGTAGAAATGCATTTTGACATTGGGTTTGATCTAAATAGCTGTCTCTGTTGAGAGCCATTATAACTGATGTTAATTCAGGTGGCTGAAAAGGCTCTATTAAAACTCTCAGTGAAATAACCAACTACGCTTTTCAAACCTAAAAACGGTGTTTTATAGTTGGAATAATGTACATGCGGTATCACTGTGAGTGGGCAGTTTCATTTACCTGAAAAACAAAATGTCTTAAAGTTATTATCTAAATGACTAAAACACCCAAATGTATTCCTCTGTGTTATCTTTTCGAGAAATAGAAGCTGCTTTTTCACAGCTCACGCCTGTGGCGTCAACACATTTTCAAGTTTTTATGAAGCATTGCTGAAGTGAGTTAAGACTGGTGGCAGGTGATGGCTGCTCATAAACCAGCTGGCCAAGTCACCTTGACGACGAGCATTACTCAGACCAATCCGGATAACATGAGCACAAACTGGTGCTCCATCTGCATTATCTTCTCCATGTGGCTGCTCTATGCATAAACAACAGATCTAGGATGGAGGATCTCCGCCTCAGCGTTTACATGGTCCGTTTATCATTTGTTAACAGGATGTGGTCGTCTGACTGCCGTTAGCAACCCCATCACTGTGAGGGCCTCGGGATCCCGCTTTGGCTCTTGGATGACTGATGCCATGATTCCCAGCTCTGACAGCAGGGTAGGTGTACAGTGTGATTTGTCTTTTTTCTGTTTTTCCTTCTTCAGTTTGTTCCATTTATATATTAAAAAAAAAAAAGGTTTACAGTCGGGGTTAGAACAAGGTTTAGGTTGGGATTGAGGCATTTGGTGGTCTGGCTCGGGGAAAGTCCTTGTAGAAGCAAGTCTCGCCACTCAGTAGCCATATATTTGTAATTATTTGTAACTCTTACAGAACCCCGTACTTACATGTAAATGGACAGAGATGTTGCTTTAATTTCACTGAAACATAAAAATGCAGCTTTAAAAAGTCTGATAACTTGGTTTTGCTCTGACCACCATGCAGACTGCCCTCAACCCTTAAATTATCATCTCTATCTCATGCATTTTACTTCTTTCTGTCATTTATCTTGTTGTATCCTGTTTTTATTGAGTGTTTATCACTATTTCTGAGATTATTTAATTAATTACATTGATTTATTTATGGTTGTAGCTGGAGGGATGTTTGTTTGTTTGCTGCTGGGTATTTAAATCTCTGCAAATTTCATGATGTTACAGATTCATTATTACTCAATCCAGAGTGATGTCTTTGACGGCCCACCAGAGCAGCTGAACAAACTAAGACCAGTGAAACTCTGCTGTCACATGTGGACAACATGACTGGCTAATAGTTTCCTGGTTTATATAAGCACCTTTTCTGGTAGTACAAACTTCCTCTGCTTTCTTCTTTAGTTGGAAATGCACCAATCAATTTCCTGGCCGAGGTTCAGACTGGTGACTGGTTACCTTCTCCTGTGCGTGTGCGTGTGGGAGCCGTTCTTTCTGTAAACATGATAGCTCGAAAAGTTTTGAATGAATTCTCATAAAAGTTTGCAGGAATGCAGAGTGAGGTCACACATACTTACATCCACCAAGGTCGGCAAGGTCAACTTAATGATTTATTGGTCAAAAACTGACAAAAAGCTCAATACTGTAGAAACTATGATTCTTAGAAACTTAGAAACAAAGTGTAGCATGTATTGTCAACATATACATTATAAAATATCATCTCAAATTTGACCTCTGACCTCTTCTTCAAGGTCAAAAGATTAATCTGAAGGTCAAAGTGATAATAATGCTATATAGAGCTGTGTTTATTAAAACTATATTCCTTACTGCTGTTGTTTGTATTGACAGCATATAGACATATAGGGAATGATATATCTGGATTCTAGATATCATGTTACTTTGGACCTCTGACCTCTTTTTTAAGGTCAAACGGTCAAACTTTCACAAAATTGTTTTTTTTATTTTTAAATTGTGTGTAAAATGCTTTTGCTTTTGTTTGTATTGGCAACAGTTAGGAAATGATACGGCTATTTGGGGTTTCTTCTGTCATATAGTTTGCATCCAAATATCATGCCAGTTGGTAGATCTGAGATGTGTTATATCTCTAACAAAAGTATTATCAAGTGAAAGAGACAAGCTGCTAGTTAGAAATATGGTGTAGTATCATATTATATAATAGGCTCAAGTTATTGACAAATCAACACTCGTTATCCATCGCCTACTCCCACACATTTTGTTTTTATAATGAATATATACAAAATAAAATACTATTTCTTTAAGAGCAAATACAGCCCAGAGAACGAGCTGCCTCGATGGAGGTTTGTGCTCTTGGAGTACTTCTTGTTTATTTATGTAATAGTCTCTGGCTCTATCTCGCCTCCTTCATATTGCCAATGCAAGCATAGTGGCCAGTATTTCCCAAATGTAACTATTTGCAGTTTCTTCTTTTCACAGCCCCGCTGAACAATTTATGAGCTTCATTGATTTAACTTAAATTACTGCACCTCAAAAAAGGAGACATTTTCACACCACCTGCATTTCGGTGTTTATTTGCTCCAACTCACACATGATCCGCTCGATGCAGTTGTCGCAGCGGCATCGAGTCACCCGCTAATGTTCTGGAGATATATTTAGATGTTAAATCATGTTAGGTTAAGTTCTTAGCAGGTCAGTCTTTTTTTTTTTAAATCAAATTTTTTCTCTGCTAGGTGTTCCATTCATGAGGGTCCCCACAAAGATAGGCATGCAAATATATGTGTATGTACTTGTTAGTATTCGTGTTGTGAGGGGATACATGAATGTCATATTAAAGTTTCAATACACATGCACCCATAAGAAATTAATTTTTAGTGTGAAGTCATGTGTGAGCTTAGATGTACTGTAAGTTTGGATTTAGATGGAGTAAAGGGAACTGATGTAGTCATCAAAATAAGACTGTGTGCTCTTGTGGGCACATGACAAGTACGGCAGGTGAAAGTGGTCATAAAGTTGCCCGCTTCTATATTTTCGCTGATGTATTTTTCAGTTTCTTTCAGCCTCATTTCTAACATGACTCCTGTGTGCACTCTGTCTCCGCTCACTGCGAGACACACACACACACACACACACACACACACACACACACACACACACACACATTCTGTTCAGGGAGTGCATATTAAGCTAGTTGTCAAGGCGACTGTCTCCCAGTTGCCAGGTGTGATTTATATCGCCATGGTGACCCTTGCCTGTTCTCTATTAGAATGTCTCCCTGGTGATGAGAAGGCGCTATACACAGCAGCAGTATCCCAGTTATTGCTGTCTGTTTTCCAGTTCCAGGTGTGACTGGTGTAGTTATGGGTGGCGGCTCTTTCTCAGTCTCTGTCTATTTGCACCTTTGTCCCAACAATTGGAAGCTTTTTCTGGTCTTTTCATGCTGCACAGTAGGTGATGTTCCTGAATCGGAGCGTGGAGAAAGCACAAGAAGTGCACTTTTATGAATGCACTGGGTTTTTTTCTGTATTTGTATTGTTTTTAAATAAGCCAGCAAAGCTATTATATGCTGTAAAGTGCTTCAATCACTTTTATCTTATTCCCCCCTCTCAGCCTTATGGAGCCCTGTAGAACAAAGACAGTAATGTTTATCATTAAGTCCTTTACATTTCCTCCCTCACAAGACTATTGCAGGGCTGTTTCCTTTTACAGAAGTAATTATTTCTGCATGTGTTTGCCAGGCTCTAAAAAATGCATTTAAAATTTTACAACCACTCCTGCACTGGCACAACAAAACAAAACAGTTGCTCCGTACACAGCTGGAAAGGGCGCAGCTATAAAACGGTGAATACATTTTACTGAGTGACGCTGCATATGGACTCTTTGGATGCATTAAAGAGAACTAAAAACCAGAGTCAAGATGACTCACTTGGATTAAAATTGCACACTTGGTTCACAGGCACAAAAAAGCTTCAGTATTTGCTCCCATGTTGTGAACAAAAAAGTGGAGCTTTCAAACTGTTGAGTAAGTTCAGCCTGTTCTCATTTCCACTACAGCAAATACTGATGTACTGTAGAAGTCTCTGGCACCTCAGAGTGTCCTCTGAGTTTGGTTATATGACACGCCAACTGATGCTTTTTACATATGGGTGCATGTTAAGCAGCTTTAGGAGCATGCTTTCTCTGCTTTCATGCTGTTTACTCCAAATTCTGACTCTACCTCCAAAATGTGAAAATCCCAGCTGATTCATCGGCTTTTGAAATATTCAGACCAGCCTTGCCACATTCAGTCCACTTAAATCACCTTTGTTGTCCATTTTAAAGCTCGCTTTGAACTTCAGCAGGTCGTCTTGACCATTTTGACATTCCTTAAGGAATGCCATGTGATTGGCTGATTAATTAACAAGCTGAACAGCTGAACAGCAGTGCCAAATAAAGTGGGAAGTGGGTTAATATGTAAACATAGCATACTGATTTGGGCAAACATTTCTCACATGAAACAGAATAATAATACGTAATGGGCTGTGACTGAATCTAGTTTACTTGTAATGATAAATAACATTAGCATAATAACTGACTGTAATTTATAAGGAAGCCATTAATCTGCCAGTAGAACAGCTGCCATTTCCTTGTTTCCATTCGTCTGCCACTCGATCTAGTCTTCTCTCTTTTTGTGTTGCGGTAATTGAAAGTTAAAAGATTCAAAATTCAAGATTCAAAGTGTTTATTGTCATGTGTCACAAGAGAAAAGGCATTTCTGTGTGCAGTGGAATTTTTTCTTTGCTGACCACCCACAGATTGATATATAAATAAATAGCTGAAGACAGAAAAGGAGACAAAATATGGAGATTTTAAACAGATGTGTGCAAAAGAGCAATAGCTTAATATGTAAGATGACCAGACGGTCAAAAAAATATTATTACTGTTCAAAATGTGTCAGTGAGTCTGATGGCAGTGGGGAAGAAGAAGTTAGTGAGTCTGGATGTTCTGGATTTCACACTTCTAAACCTTCATCTCGAGGGCAGAAGTGTGAACAGTCTGTGTTGGGGTGTGAGGGGTCTTTGAGGATGGAGGCAGCTCTCCTCTGGACTCTGTGATGGTAGATGCTCTGCAGAGAGGGCAGCGGGGTCCTAGTGATCTTCTCCGCGGTTGTTATCACTCTCTGCAGGGGTTTGCGGTCCATAGCAGTAGTGCTGCCGTACCATGCAGTGATGCGGCTGGTCAGGGTGCTCTCCACAATGCAGCTGTAGAACCTGCTGAGGATCTTGGCCGGCATACCAAATTTCCTCAGCCTCCTCAGGAAATACAGTCGCTGCTGAGCCTTCTTGACCAGCTGTGTGGTGTTCAGTGACCAGGTGAGGTCCTCAGAGATGTAGACGCCCAGGTACCTACAGCTGCTCACCCTCTCCACTTCAAGGCCCTGGATAGACAGCGGTGGGTGAGGCCCCCTCAGAGTTAAAAGTTAACTTTGTAGCTATTTATAAAAAGGAAAAAAAAAAAGCTCTGTGCAATAACCTGGATTTTAAAGTAGTAATAAAAAAGACCTTCGGTTAAACAAAAGTTACAAACAAGATATTGTGTGTTGTTAAATTGTCTGGTTACTCTTTAAGAAACAATTTTATCCACTTAATTTTAGTAAATGTGACCAGGTTCTGTAGTTTTTGGCTTCTAAAACTAACCGCAAAATTATGAAGGAGTGAAAATGAAACTAATCAGGGAGTG